ACCACACAAACGTGAGCATTGGAACAAACCTGTCCAGTGATGTAAGCTGCAGCGGGGTCGAGAGCAAGGAACTTGACCAGTCCTGCCACTTCGTCAGGCGTTCCCAGACGGCCTGCATTGGAAACGCAAGGCGAAGACACGTAAGCAAGTAGCAGGCGAGGATAACAGTGAGATGTGAACGCCAAAACTGGTGCAATATAGCAACAGCCTTAATCTCGTGAGCAGCCAAGGAGTACGCGCGCAGGGAGACGCAGCACAACACATACCCAGGGGAATGCCAGCAAGAATCTTCTTCTCGATCTCAGGGCCGAGTCCCGCTGTCATATCCGAGGCAATGAAGCCCGGAGCAATGGCGTTGGCCTGAGGCACACAGGAAGGAGGTGTAGAGAGGAACGAGATGAATTGAGGAGAGAATCTTAAGGTGGGAAATAGGAATCTGGTATGTTGTGGGGAAACAAGATGAGGGGCAGAGATGTTATAAGAGAAACTTAGGGTTTCGCGCGAGACTGAGTATGATGATGCAAGGGGCGGCAAAGAGAGACAGAAAATCCAAGTGCACTACGTATTCCACAAGCACACACGTACGATGATGTTACGGCCAGAGTACTCGCGAGCAATAGTCTTAGTGAAGCCAATGACCTGCATACAGCAAACAAGGAGAGGGATCAGGAATGGAGGAGGGAACCAAGTCAACAACTACAACAGGTAAAGGGATGCCAGAGGGAAATAAGACGGTGAGATCGGGTACAGGGAGAAGATCAGAACGAACACAGAACAGCAAAATATAAATAGCACAAAAGCGAAGGCACAAGGAGAAAGGCAAATATGACAGGAACCAGACAGTTTTGAGACACTTACACCAGCCTTGGAGGCGGAATAGTTGGCTTGGCCAGCATTTCCAGTGACTCCGACAACCGACGCAATGTTGACAATACGACCCTGGTCGCAGGAGATCGGCAGACGGAATACAGAACAATACAGAGCGGTTGTGAGGGGAAGAAAGTAACAACCTAACCAGAGCGTGGCGAAATCGCGAATACTGCAAAATACCCTTGCTCCCTTCGTTTCCACTCTTGGAGCACAGGAAGAGCTTTCAAGTTCCCAAGAATGTTAGTTCAGCAACAATGAGCCAAGATGGGAACTTCGAGGGGTCGAACCCATGATTCAATCTTTCCGTCCCTCGGCCAAGTCACGGTCACTTGCGTCGCCGTCCGTACCGTTCTCTTCTTCATCATGATCTTGATGGCGCCCTGCGTGCAGCGGAAGACGGACGTGAGGTTGATGCTGATCACGTCGTCCCATTGCTTCATGGTCATGCGCGTCAGCAGTGTGTCGCGCGTGATGCCTGCACGACACGATCCACGGCGAAGGGCGAACGGCCCACGAGCAGACGGGGAGGTGAGATGAGGGGAGGACAGCCGAGATGGAACGAAAAGAAGCGAGGCCGAATGAACAGAAAACACTCGAGAACATGTGCCGGTCGCGAACGACTGTCGTACGAATGGTATCGTTACGACAGGTAGGAGGGTTACCGATAGGCTACAAACCAACTGCAAGGAAAGCCAGGCTTGGAAAACGGAGAGGGCGAGACTCGTGTTGTGAAGAGGGTTCAGGGGATTGAGACTGGTGCAATAACACGAGGGTCCGGACAAGAAGGGGATGCTACGAAAGCGTACCAGCGTTGTTCACGAGCACGTCAACAGTGCCCCACTTCTCCAGAATCTGCTCACAAAGGAAGACGATGAATGTAAGGAGCGACAGTGTGAAATACGGAACGAGAACCGTGAACAGCGAGGAGTTGAAAATGGGCGAGAAATGGGAAAAGTAGGGGGTGCGCGCTCGAAGTACGAGACAAGGATAAAAAAAACGATTGCGAGAGCAGAGATACTAGATCTGAGAAGTTTTCAAAGCGTCGCTACATAAACTTTCCTGGCTGACTGAGTCGCTCACCGCTTTGTACATGGCGTCGATCTGTTCGTCGCTAGTGACGTCGGCATTGTAAAGAAAGGCGGAGCCTCCTGCGGCCTCAATCTGGCAGCAGGGGTGATGGGGGGACAAGAAAAGCGGATGAGGATGTGAGATGACGGTGTGAACGGTGTGACGACGACCGAGTGCAAAAAGCGACGGATGAGGAAGGAAGAAATGAACATCAAGAAACAACTTTATTCCACAAGGACCGTGCGAACGTGACTGGCAATACGCACCTCGGCGGCGAGCTCTTCAGCCGGCTCTGGGCTAAGGATGTAGTTAACGACCACCTGTGATGATACACATAGACAGAAACGAATGAAAGAAATACATAAGCGAGAAAAGGTGCGAGCGAGAGAGCGAGAGAGAGCGAGTGAGAGCGAGAGTGAGCGAGTGAGAGCGAGAGTGAGCGAGTGAGAGCGAGAGTGAGCGAGTGAGAGCGAGCGAGATGAAGGGAGATGGAGGGAGATGGAGGGAGATGGAGGGAGATGGAGGGAGATGGAGGGAGATAGAGGGGGATGGAGGGAGATAGAGGGAGAAGGCCGTGGATTGTCTAGACAACATGTCCCAGAACGTAAAAAAAGAAACAAGCAAGAGAAAGGTTGACGAGAAGTTACCCTGCATCCAGCCTTGCCGAAGGCAAGAGCGATAGCCCGGCCGATACCGCGAGAAGCACCAGTGACAACGCACACAGGGGCGTCTGCTGCAGCTTCCGCACGCGCGGAAAGAGCTGCAATAAGGGAACAGATACGGGCACGAACCATGCATACTTGTGAGCGTGTTCTTCATGAGCCGTTCTAGGAGAAAACATAACGTTGTTCTCAACTCGACATTCTTACAGTGACATTTGATTCAGAAACACTTGCTCCAGATAAGCACTAGTAATATTTTCTTTTGTTCAACGTAAATCATAAATGAATATGCGAGGGACGAAGCAATACCGCGAGATGATCGGCTCTGGCTGACGTTCGTCTTAGGAGCGAGCGACGAGACGTTAGAGAAAGCAGAGAGCGAGGAGATCTTGGCCGACGAGTTGGCGGCGATTGCGGAGCAGGCCAGCGGGACTGCCTTTAAAGCGGCCCTGGCGGAAACAGCACTGCTGGTGCAGGTCCTGACTGCAGCAACAGCGGCCATGGTGGTTGTGCAGGTAGCAGCGGCCATTTCCTCTGGTATAAGCAGATGGAAGAGTAGCAGATGCTGGGACAGATTCCTTACCCTCTCTTGCTAGCTGGTCAGCAAGGAGCAAAAGCAAGCCAGCTTATGAAGAAATTGCAGGAGAGAAAGGAAATGAAAATGAAGAGAAGAAATAGATTTGAGTGGGCCAGATCTGGAGTGGGGTTGGGCAGCGTTTCTGATCAGGCGCGTACGAGGGGCAAAAGAGTGGAGGAGTGAAGAGGGATCGGCGGCATGAGTCAGAAGAGGGATCAGATCGCGTGACAATAATCAAGGGAGCGGTTCGTGGGCGATTTCGCGAAGGAGTTGAAACCGATTTCGCTAAGCGTCTCTTGGGCTGTCCGCCGTTGACGAATGTAGAAGCGATGCGGGAAACCTCTTCGGGATTCTCGCCAGATTCTCAGGTGAAAGCGACCATTCAGACAGCTGAAAGGTGAGAATAACGTGGTAATTCCCACGTGGCGGAAAATGGTGCGGGTGCCACATGTCACGCTGACCTGGCTGACTTATCTGATGTTTTTTTTTTTTCGTCCGGTCCAACATCAGCGCTTGGAAGTTAGGGCAACGACTCAACTTCCAATCTGAAATGTTCGAGGCATGCAACGTCCAATCAAAATGGCGTGGCGGAGATTCGCACATGCCCAAGATCCATGATATTTCAATTCAAATGCCCATCTGAACTGCTAGATATGCTTGATCGCAGATGCGTTACAACAATTTCGCGTGTTCAGTTGTGTTACGAGTGTAGAGTGGAGTAGGTGGGATAACATAAGGAAGGAGGTGTTCGATTGAAAGGACCTCTGAATCCGAGATTTAAGATATGTGGTTGAGCACGCGTTTGAAAAAAGAATCGTTTGAATGATTTCGTACGTACATTGGCTCAACTTCTTGTGTTCTTAAAGTTCTTATTATAATTCATTTTTGCATAATGTAGAATACCAATCTATGATAGACAATACTAATACGGGTTTGTGCGTAAGTGCATTCCTTCAATATACTGACATTTCACGAAACCCTGACCAGACTGTAGCATCTTTTGTAATCACAGTGTTATTCCCTTGACCACGCCAAGCCTGACACTTTCGAAGCAGACCAGCAGGGCATCGACGAATCACAGGGGCCTGCGAGATGAAGGCGAGACGGGTAAGTCCGAACCGCTATTTCGATTCAAGCCGAGCTGCGACCCGCGGGGAGGACGCTGCTTGCCAGATGAGGATTGTATACAGTAGCAGGGGAGGCGAGGAGGAAGCATTCATAATCCCCTCCCCACAACAGAATCACACCACACCACATGGCGGGATCGGGTTTGCTGCACACCCCCCCCCGCCCCCCTCTCCCCTCCATCCTCGTGTGCTTTATCAATGCTGCCATTATGACAGCAGTGCGCCGCTCGGGGCGCGATACGTTCGGCCTTCGTTTCTCTGACCCGGGAGCGGGCTGCTTTCGCTGTACTAGACGGCGACTGCACCGTCCTGAAATCCTTGATCCTCTTTTTGTTGTACTACAATGTAGGTGCTTCACGTGCTTCCCACACGCCTTGGATAGCAGGCTTCCTCCACTCCACCCCAACAAGCGCGCTTTGTATGTCAAAATCCTTCAACAAGGGATTGCATCGCGTTGCAACCAAATCTCCACCCATAGCTAGAAGCCAAGCCCGACGTCGGAAATCCTTAGGGCATGGCTTTGTGGACGGCGTAAAAACGCGCGCGTGTACCCCGAAGTTTCAATTCTCTGCCTACTAGTTTCCTTGGTTCTTCACAACTGTGACTCCCATGGCAAAGACGCTCACATCTCGCGTCGTTCTCGGCGTGGGATGGCAAGGCTGGCACAGAAGCCGGCTCGCGACGGTGGCAGCGGTGATGGCGCTGCCGCTGCTGCTGCTGCTGCCGCTGACCGTGGACGTCGCACTAATCTGGTCGTCGGATGCCAACTCGAGCGAGCAGCTCGCTACCATGCTGGGCGAGGTGAGAGAAGAACACACGTACCCACTTACTTCATGAAAGTGTGACCTTGACATCGCCGCCCACCTGTCCTTCCCTGACCGTGACAAGTCCTGCCGCTGGCCGTGGACGTTGCTCTGATAAGGTCATCACATGCCAGCTCGAGCGAGCAGCTCGCGACGATGCTGGCTGATAGGTGAGCAGCGAGCCCGGTGAGGCCAGTGGTTCCATGTGACACTTGGTTTAAATGTGCAACTTTGTAAAAAGTGCAGTGCTGTGCAGCGTAGGTGCAGCGCGGCGCAGGGTAGGTGCAGCGAAGGATAGCGGTCGCGGAGCTTGCATAACGTGAGGAGGAGTCTGCCTCGCTGGTTTCCACCACCCGTTCCTCGTCCAGTCACGGCACCTGTTCTTCTTTTGTCGAACCCGTTTATCTTCTACCTCCTATAACGTCTTTTGCACCCTTCCTTTTCTCCGTGCCTCCTTTTTTCTCCCTCCTCGTCCGCCTTACCACTTTTTCCCCAGTCAGTCCCTCCCTCCTTCCCTCTTTCCACCCCCCCACGTCCCAAAACATCAGGGCGACTCGACAAAGTAGCTACTGCATATTTGCTTAATTTCACTTACCACTTGTTACTCCTTCCCCTTAACCCACTTCCACCCCCGCTTCCCGTCTCTCCCGCTCCTCGTTCCCCGTGCGCAGCATTACCGCGTTCCGCCCATACTCTCCGCGCACGACTCCGACACGCTCGACCTCTTTTTGAGTCGATTTAAAAAACAGTCACGTCTCTCCCGCTCCCCCGTTCCGCCCGTTCCCCCCATGCCCAGCACTGCCGCGTTCCGCCCATGCTCTCCGCGCACGACTCCGACGCGCTCGACCTCTCGCAATGCTCAGCGCGGGAGGAATATCATTCCGCCGTTTTCTCCTCCGCGAATCGCCTTGCCCTGTCCGCGCTACAAGCGGGGTCGAAAACAGCCAACGGCGGCAGGCTGTGCGAGCACCTGGAGGAGAAGAAGCGTCTAGCCGCTCGGCAGCAAGCGTGGCAATGGCCTTGGGCTTCCCGCGGGCGTGAGAGCGGTAAAGGAGGATTATCTCCCAGTGCTAGCGGTGCTGCGTCCGGCGGAAACGCGGCATTGGCGGGAATGCCGTCTTTCGCCTATGTGACGTTGATCACGGGGAAGAATCTCGTCGCTTCCGCGATCGTGTTCGCGCAGGCGTTGCGTGCGACTCGCACGCCGAACCACATCGTGCTGATGATCGCCGATGGCGGGGAAATGACTACAGTGCCTCCTCAGCTACACGACTTTTTTGACGCGGTTATACGAGTGGAGTGGATTCCGAACCCGTTCATTGCGATCTCTTTCACGAAATTCCACATTTGGCGAATGGTGGAGTTCGCGAAAGTGGTGTACATGGACGTGGATACCTTGCCGCTCGCGAATGTGGACCACTTGTTCGAGCGGCCCGAGATCACCGGAGCGCCTGGGTTCTTCCTGGTCAACCAATTCAACGCGGGTATCATGGTCGTCAAGCCGTCACTGGTGAGCCATCTACAGTGAATCAACTGATGTGCAGTGGCGGTTCCGTGCAGCGTAACGCGTGGAGGAAAGTGATCACCCTGCAGAGGACTCTTCTCCTTACCAGTCCTTTACGTGACCGGCCGACTCGGCCGTTTTCCTCTTCACGAGCAATGCCCGTCCTCACTTCCTCTTCCCCATTTCCTACCCTCCCTCCTCTCCTACCCTTCCTCCTCTCCTCCCCTGTATCTCCCTCCTCCTCCCCTCTCACTCTCCCCTCGCTCCCCTCCCTCCCTTCTCTCCCCCCAGGCCACGTACGACGCGCTACTGCGCAGCATCGACGTGATTGGCTCCGTGGATCGCGGCGACCAGGGCTTCTTAAACGCCTTCTTCACCAACTACCCCAACCAGACCGCGCCGCACCGCCTGGACTACCGTTATAACGCCATGCTGACTTTCCCCGACCAGCACCCCCCTCCCCCCTGGTACGACCCGGAAAACGCGCACGAGATTATCGGGCCCGTTATGATTCTCCACTACGGCGGTCCGTGGGGGAAACCGGCGGGGTTCGGGAAGATTAAACCCGTGTCTGGGCCGAACGCGTGCACGCACCAGTGCTGGGAGAAGGGGCGGCAGCCGGTTACCAGGTGGCTGGCGATGTGGTACGAGCTGTCGCAGGCGCTGTTCGCGAATTGCTGGCGCCCGCTGGAAAGGGGGAAAGTGGAGGCGTTGCTGGTTAACGGGTTGCCCAATAAGGGGGATTACGAGTGGGTGCGCGTGGCGGGGCGCTCGAGGGGTCTGCTGGGGGAGGAGGCGCAGATGCAGAACGCGCAGGGGGGACGGGTTGGGGGGAAGGCGGAGAGGGGAGGAGGTGGGGGGGGAGTGGGAACGGTGGGTGATTCGGCAGAGGGAGGGTGGGAGAAGGGGGCGGGGGAGCAGGAGGGGCAGCAGAGGGAGAGAAAGGAGGGGGAGAAGGGGAAGCAGGCGCAAGCGGTTGTGGAGGTTCAGCGAGCGTCTATGTGGAGACGACCGGCCCTGGCAACGGCGATTGATGTGGGGGTGGAGGATGATGAGGAGGTCAGGAGCGATGGTGCTGATTCATCAGCTACTGCTGATGGTGCTGATTCTTCTGCTGGAAGAGATCAGGAACGGGACAGTGCTGCGAGGAGGGCGACGGAGATGGTGTTTGCGACGGTGGTGGGTCCTGCGAATGTGGAGCATGCATACGCGTGGGCGATGTCGTATGATAAGTATCACGACCCTACCCAGCTGCAGCAGCAGCTGCAGGGACAGCGCCGGCAGAACAGGAACACAGGAGGAGACAGTCAGGCGTCGGATACGTTGGATGATCCACTCCTGCTCACGCGGCATGACACGCTTGTCCTGGCGCTCTCATCTGTTCCCGAACCAGCGCTCGCGAATCTTCGCCGGTTGTTCACGCACGTTCGAGTGGTGGAGCCGATTTCGGTGTGGGAAGGCAGGGGGAGGAGGGAGCTTCCAGAGGAGTTTGTCGCTTTGCATCTTTGGAACCAGACGGATTTTCGGAGGGTTGTTTATGTCGACCCGCTCTCGCTCTTCAAGGATAACTGTAACCACATGTTCAGCGAGTTTCGCCCGTTCGCTGCCCCGCCGCTCCGCTTCCCGCCAGACATGTTCTCAACCAGAGTGATGCTGATTCAACCGCACTCCACCACTTTCCGTCACATGGTTTCGGCGATCGAGCTGGCCCCATTGCGCCCGCAGCAGACAGTGTATCTGGACCTCTTTCTAAACGCGTATTATGGGACCTGGTACAGGGAGAACACTCTGCACCGCATGCCGTATGAATACGGGCTTAATTTGTGGTTACGGCAGAGGCTGCACCAGTACTACCCGCACCCTCGGATTGTGAACTTTGACGGGCGGTCCCCGTTGGAGACAGAGGATCTGGACAGCTGGAAAGACTTTGATAAACGGAGGGGGAACATGGGTCAGGAGTGGCTGGATCTGCGCAATGCTGCTCTTACTCAGCTGGAGAAATGACATTCGGTACGATAGGACGAGCTCCTTACTCAGAAAGGGGGGGGAGGCGGTGGGGGCGAAGAGGGTGTGTGATTATGGAAAAGTAAGGGGTCCTGATTTGGTGTCTTACAGCGGGGCCTAGGAATGGCGGTGCTGGAGAGGAGAGCACTGTACGTCTGAGAATGGGGACAGAATGGGAATTGAGAGCAGGCTGTAAGCAGTCATGCTGTACAGTTGGTGAAGAATCTGGGTGACAGGTTAGCAGGGAGACTCTTATGCTATAGGTGAACCACTAGCTAGTAAGGAGTTAAGCATGCAGCCAGATTACAGAGGACATTAGTATAGTCCAATACTGGTCCTGGCTTGTGTTGGTAACATGTGTGTGTGTGTGTGGCCCTGCAGAGCGTGTTCCTTCCCTCTTATCAGACGTGCCTTATCAGATTGTGTGTGACTGAAGTATATTATATGCATCACAAAGCAGGGCGTCAGAGCCTGACAAGAGTACACTACGTGGTGTATTGACAGCAGTACAGTGGTGTAGAGCTGCTTGTGGAGTGACTCGGGTTCATGTCTACCCTTCTCCATGCATCAGATACGTATGACAGATCTGCTACCTTATATCAAACCAATTCAGACAGGCCATCCTCAAGGGATATTCAGTTGGTGTTCAAGGGGAGCAGCTCAAGTGTCCAACACAGGAAACTGATTTTGACATTGCATTGCATGGTTCAGAGGTCCATGAAACAAAGAGCAACTAGAGTTTAAGGCAAAATAAAAAAGAGAAAGCAGCTAAGAGACCACATATGTACAGCTTACTCCCACCCACACGCACATTCCGTACCCCTACTAGTACCGTAACTAGACCATCCACCCTCTAATAAACAGCCCACTTGAATACCTATCCACCCCCCCTACCCCCAGCCCCCCCCTTCCCCTTACCAGAAACCCATACCTGCACCCCCCTGAACCCACACCCATCCACCCATCCCCCCACCAATGAAAAGAATATGCACACATTGTACAGATGCACAGGTCCACGGCGCAAAGAGGAATGCCACGACCACCAGGCGAGCGAGGACAACTGGAGACGTGGAGCAGAGACGACACCTTCCACCCAGGACGGCCTTGGAGAATAGAGAACTCGCAAAGAGATGTCTCGATCCCGCCATTCCTCGGTAGCTCCGCCCCTATTTCTTCCCGCACTCCGCTCGTTCCATACCCCGAAACAGAATCCTTCAAACCTCCCTCCACATGATCACTTCTACACACCCCGCACCCTTCCCTCCCCCCGTAACTCCCCCCTCCCTCACCGCTCTCCCTTCCTCCTCGCACACCGCTCTCCCTAATCCAGCCGTCACACGGTCACGTATACTTGGTGTATTTTCACCAGTTTTCCTTCATCACTTTGGCCTTTTCCAGAATGAATTTCCCCTCCTTGTATTTCTGTGGCTCTTCGTAAGCGCGCTCGTACTTCCACCCCAGCACTTCGTGGCACTCGGAGCAGTAGATGTCGGCGACGGTGTGTAACCCGGTAATGAGCATGCGATCCTCCGTCGGGCCCACCGACACGTTGACGACGTTCGCGAACAGGTACGCGCGACCGTGCCGCCCCTGCACCGAAGCGGGTTTTCATGTCGTTGATGATGTTGTTGTTGTCGTGACGTTTAAGGAAGCCAAGGAGCGATGGACAAGCGCCAACGTATGACGGATGCACGAGGGAAGGTAGGAGGGTGGGAAAGGAGGGACGGAGGGCGAGAAAAAAAACGGAAGGATAAGGTGAGAGAGAGGAATATAGGCGGGGGAAACGAAGCAACAAAGAAAAGATGCAGAAGCACTATGGAAACTGGCCCATGCGGAATAACTAACGGCGTAGAGGGATTTAAGTCTACCTGGAAAGACTTGGAGATGATTTCGTCGTGGTCTGCGGCGTGGCTCCGGCAGTTACTGCAGCTGTAGATGCGGGGCCCCTTCAAATAGTGCTTGAACGGACGCCCCATGACGCCCACACGCTCTAGCGAATCCGGTCGACGGGAAAGGAAAGGTGCGACGGGAGCAGAAAAGACCGCGGCTCAAGAAGCCGGGGCCTTAAAAAGGCGAGAGAGAGGACACTATCGTGTGTGGCTGCGTGGGCCTGCGTGTGGCTTCAAACGCGTATGTTGACGAAGACTTGGGATTGCTTCTCTGCTGCTAGGCTGATGATGCTTGTGCTGCTTGGACGAGGAATGGGGCGCCAGCACGTGAGGGTTTGCTTTGCACGGGACCGAAATCCTAATGGCGAATGGAGTGGAGGGGAGGATGGAGCCGTGGAAAATGGAACACGGTGGCGAGGCGAGGGGTATAAACGGCGAGGTTGGGGGGGACATGGATGGAATTTGGAAGGGAAGTCACGGGGCTTGGCTGGTTTGGTTCGGCGTGGTTTGTAGCCTGGGGGGTTTGGCTCGGCTGGAGTAAGGGGGGCGAATTCATCTATGGGGTAGGATGAATGTGTCGCCTGGTGTGGGAACGCGAGGAGGGACTGGTGGGGGCTGTGTTGATGGCTTGGGGATGATGAGGGAATGGTTGGTCGGTTCGGGCTGGTTGGAATTTGGCTCCCTGCGGTATGACTGGCCGAGGGGAGTGAACGGGCAGAATTGTGAGAGGAACACACCTGCCCTGGTGTACGTTCTATTTCGCTTCGGTTTGTGACCCATTGCCAGCATGCATGCGGTGCGACATGGATGCGCTGCGCGCTGAGCTGGTTGTGTGGGGCTCGGTGCGAGGGGATACGGTCATGGAATTCATGAAGTTCCATCGAAGGCAGGGTGTCACATGGTCATTCAATGGTCCCCATGATTTTTTCCATGCCATGCGTGAGGCAGACCGATGGAGGAGCGGCTGAACAATCTCCTCCATCCATGGTTGTATTGTATGTGGGCCTTGGGGAACGGGGTACGGGTTTGGTTTGGTTTGGGGTGCTGTTGAGCTTGGTCATTTGGCTCGGTAACTGACTTGGCCAGGGTTTGGAAACTCTACACAGGATGCTCGCTTGACTTGCACATATTTTTCGGTCATTTGGGTGTCTAGTGCGCAGCCCGAATTCGCCAGCTCGCCAACGTTCGCCACGGGCAAAATCGGGACTGTAGTGGGCAGGTGAAGAAATGTAACCAGCTTCTTCAAAATATCTTACGAACGGACGGATGTCAGCGTGATAAGCTGTTTGTTTAACGGCTGCGATCAAAATAGGGGCTTGTTTCGAGTGTGCAACTGGCTAGAGCTACTTGCAGGGTGTCGAGCGCGGACAGACCAAATGCGCGTGCACTGGTTGGGCATCTTGTAGTTTCAGCCCCTAGTTTCTGGCTGGGGCAACGTCATCCTCCACGCATGAATGAGCTGGCTCGGATTGGTTCCTGCTTCGAAGAAGCAATTCGATTCGTCACCATTGATGAGGGGTCACGCACTCTGGGAGATTTGCTACATGGGTTTCGACATGTGTGATGTGGTCTGACGTCAGACGAATTTCCGGCCAGATCCTTGTGTAGAGTGCAAAAATGCTTCTTTTGTTCACTCTAACGGGTTTACCGTAGTTCAATCAAAGCCATACATGATACCGTAACTATCTCCACACCCAAACATCTTACCATACCCTCACCCAATTTTCTAGGGAATTTATACAAGAAGTCACAATTGTTCCCGGATTATCACGTTTGGTCACAGGGGTATCACGAACAGTCACAGTACAGTAAATTCCTATCGCGGGTGATCACAGTGCTATCACGGATGGTCACACCTCACAGCGAAAAGGTATCACATTTGGTCACTCGTTGAAACGATCGATAAAAATATGAAACTATTCAAGTCACTGTAGGGATTCAAGGAAAGTTTTCTCGCGCGCACCGTTTTGTCCGTAGTAATGCGAAATACTTTCGCGACAACTCTCGGTAACTCGTTAAAAATATCTGCAATTTCTTGTTCGATTGTCCACTGTTCGATGCATAATGTCCCAAAGAATATTACTTCAAGACGGGTGAATCTCTAAGGTTAATTTTAGTCCCAAGACAAAAAAAAACTAAAACCCATTTGGATGGGATATAATTCGGGAGAATCAACCCTAAACACCTTGTCGCAAGGTGTTTAGGGTTGATGCCTCCCGAAGGACGTGCCATCCTATAGGGGTTTATTTTTTTCCTCAGTTCCCTAAATGTCAGGCTATAATAATGCGCGAGGTCACTAGCAATCAAGGTTGGGATTCCCCAAAATTTCAACTGTTCCTTTTGTGGTTTCAAATCGTTTCATCGAGTGACCAAACGTGATAGCTTTTCGGGGCGAGGTGTGACCATCCGTGATAGCACTGTGATCACCCGCGATAGAAATCTACTGTACTGTGACTGTTTGTGATACCCCTGTGACCAAACGTGATAAAACGGGCAAAATTGTGACTGCCTGTATAATTTCCCCAATTTTCTACCTTCAAACGTCGTGGACAAACCCCTGAGGTGAGGTAACAAAATGTACAAGGCATGATAGAGTGCCATAACAAAGTGCACAAATAACTACTATGACAATGATAGAACTGATCATCAGAGCATTCGCTGAAAGAGTGCCCACAGCCAATGCAACTGCGAAAAAACAAGGGACGTCAAGTGGGTAAAAAGGGAAACACATTGAAGAGGATTTTGAACACCTGAAAGTAAACAAACGCGAGAGAAATGCAACAGACAACGGAGCGAGGAACGAGAAATAAAACATGCCAGGCAGTACATCCCACACCCTACACCATCCAGCAATCTGATTGCAAAACCAGATTCCACACGCTATTCCATACCTTGGCTCGCTTCTTCTCCCTACTGATCCGAGCTGCCAGCTTTGGCTGGGGCGTGGGCCAAGCCATGTTCTCAAAAGGGCTGCCACTGCTGCTGCGGCGACTGCTGCTGCTCTGGCGGCCACCGTTCGGACCGTAACTGGATGTAAGCTCAGTGCATGCACTTCCTGCCGATAATTCCTCCGCTGCTGCTGGGATAGATTTCATCTTCTCAGTCTCAATGCTCCCCTCGCGTGGCCTGGCACTGGCGAGGCTGCTGCTGCTGCTGCTGCTGCTGCTGTTGCGGCTGCTGCTGGGCTCGCTGGTATCAGATCGATCCATCCTGCTGGCTTTTCCGGTAGAGGCACTGGTGGGAGTGCACATGCTCACAGCAGTAGGAGAGACAGCAGCAGAGAAAGCTGCATTGGTGGCAGCTGCAGGAATTGATGATGTAGGGTAACCAGTGATGGGGGATTGAGGGACTGAGGAAGCAGCAGAAGCAGCAGCATCGTCTGTTTCTGCAGCAGAGGCGGGTGCAGGTGGGGCTGCTGCTCCTGCTGCAGCAGCTTTCTCGCTTCTGCGCCGGGCAGCCCGCTGAGAAAACATTGCGGTGAATCGGGAAGTCCCTGAAAGCAGGAGTTGGGGAGAGGGGGGTGGGGAGAGAGGGGAGAGGGGAGGGGAAAACGTGGAGACATATCGGGATTGGAAGGTTCAGCGGCAGCAGCAGCAGCCGCCTGTTGGGCTGAAGCGATGTTGAAAGGCGAGATCAAAGTAAGCTTGTGACTGAGAGCACCAAGCAGCACGAATTGAAAGAGAGGCAAGTGCAGCATGTCATAACGGTCAGGAAACTCAGGCAGTGGGAGGGAGGAGAGGGGAGAGGGGGAAGTGGTAGAGGGAGGAGTGGTGGAGGGGGGGAGAGGCTGGGAGGGGTTGGGAAGGAGTACTACAAGGGGAATGCCATGCGACCACCCAACAGGATAAATGTTTGGCTAGCACCGCAGAATGAATTGAGGTTTGGAATGCATGACATCGCAAGGCATGGCGAGGCAAAGGAGGGCGCTGTCGCAACGCATGGACATTGGTAGGAAAAGAGTAGCCATCGGCAAGGCCTCACGTGTAACATAGAGGGTAGGTACTGTCTAGCTGGAACATTGCGTATAGCCGCTATACAGGCATAGAATCATATTGGAGAATCTAGCGAGTATCGTCTTACCATAGAATCTAGCCGGAATGACTTGACGCTCGCCGGGTTCACTCTCCTCAGCCGTCTCCGCTGCGCGTTCTGCCTCCATTGCTGTTGCTGCTTCTGCTTCTGATCCTGCGGCTGCCAATGCTTCCGCTGCTTCTGCTTCGGCTGCTGCCAATGCCTCTGCTTCTGCTGAAGCTGCTGCTGCTGCTTCGGCTGCTGCTGGTGTTATTGCTGGCGTTGGCGACACAGCCATTGCACCGCTGTCGTAGACAGATCCGCCCTTCCCACCGCGGACATCCCCGATATTGTGTGCAACGGCCAGCTCAGAAGGCTGGAAATGGGAAAGATGCTGTGTTAGGGATGCTGCAGCAGCTGCTGCTGCTGCTGCTGCTGCTGCTGCTGGTGGTGGTGCTGCGTCTGCTGCGGCGTGTGTCGCTTCAGAGGAAGCTGAAGCTCCAATCACCCCGATATCTTCCCTGCACGTGCTACCGCCGCCAACCGTGCTGCTATCATCACCACCCATGCTATTTCCGTCGAACCGCATGCTGTTCCCGTCGCACACACTAGCCCCGTACGCGCTACTGCTGCTTCCGTATTCGCCCTGCCAGTCGAACTTGCTTCGGTCCTTCACCTGCTCGTACCGCTCTCTAAACTGCGCGGTGTACTTATAACCCGACCTCCGTTGCTGCTGATGCGGTGGCGGATTCTCCTGTTTCTCCGCCGATCCCTCCGCGTCCCCCGATCCCCCAGTCCGCTGCAGGCGCGCTTTGAGGCGGGAGAGCGCGGAGGAGCACTTTCCGCGCGGGTGCGCGGAGTCGGGCGCGGAGGGCTCCGCGGGGCAATTCCACTCCGCGAACTCGGGAATGGTGGAAACATGGGGGTCCTGGAATGGGGGGAATCAGGAAGAGTAGGAGATAAACAAAGAGAGACGAGAAGCCACGCCAATGTTACAGCATTTACGCAGATGTGGGAAAAAAAATCTTACACAAGAAAAAAAAGAACAGAAAGGGGAAAATAAAGAGCAAAATTGCAAGCCCAGGGGGAGAAAGACGCGCACGGGTTGCGAATGTTGACGATTCGATGAGCAAAACAGCGGCGAAATTTTAGTCGTAAGGATAATAACGCTGGTGGTTACCAAGTGGTTAAGCTCTTTATTTGTCATTCCGTAGTAATGAAAAGTTACACACCTCACTGCCGTGATTCAGTACTTTAGCAGCGCGTATCTTTTTCACCGAAACCGCGCCGCTGCTCCGCCGGGAACCCTGCGACCCCTGCGACACTTGCGATCCGAGCGACGTGCGCGACTGGAAAGAGGCGCACGAACCAAACGACGGCTGGGACGAGTGCGATGCGGCTGACTTGAAGGACTCCTCTCTAGCATCGTCATCCAGAGGCGCGCCGGCCTCAATTCGTCCTACGTTCCCCTCGCACCCTTCCGTCGCGAGGCAGAACCGCTGTCGTTCCTGGCTCACGTCGCTCGTGCGACTCTTTCCGCTGTCGCTCGTCGCACAGTCGACAAAAGCGGCGTCGCAAACCCCATCGCCGTCCGCCAGCGAGTTGCCGCCGATGCTGCTGCAACGGCTCCTCCCTCCGTTGCTCCGAGCCGCCTTGGAACGCGCGAAGCTGCTGCTGATGCTGCTGAACCGCTGCAGATACCCGCTTCTCGCGCCGTCGCTCGCGCCGTGATCGCCGCTGGCAGCGTCGGCGACTGTGCCGATCACACAGCCGCCGTGATCTAATCGGTGATGGTTGTCCATAAAGCAGCAGCAATAGCAGTTGGGTAAACCGACTCACAGACCAAATTGATGGATGAATCACGAGAGGCTTTAGAAAGTCAATGCGAAGGCATCCTATGGCTTCTAATTTAGTCCCGCGATAATGCCTACAGTGCTACACGTGGCCCAACTGCTCTGAATAGAATTGTCGATTTGGAGTTCGACTCGACACATCGCTCGGATCTGCTCCTCACCTCTACGAAATTGGCTCTGTTTCTGCCCAAACCCAATTGAACTAATTGATGCTCTTTGCTTCAAACTGGTCTTTTTTCGCGAACCTGAAACCAATGAAGCTGGGGGACAGAGGCGGTGGTGGTGGGGTGGTGGTGGTGTGATTTGAAGCGGGAACAGTAAGAGTGAAATGGGACAGGAGCGGAGAGAAGGGGGGCAAGAATGAAGTACTGTAGATTAGGAGGGGAGAGGAAGAGAGAAGTGAGGGAGGAGCGGTGAGTGCGGTGCGGTTTTAGGGGCGGGGAGGGGGAAATGATAACATTTTCTCCTGATCGTGTACAGTGCAGAACAAGACGCACGCAGTTATGCGACTGACGGTTTGACCGGACGACTTCAGTTGCTTGGGCCGACAGACAGCGCAGCATTTCCGGCTACGATTGGTTACTCGTTTAGGTCGTGGGGGGTGCTACAGTGTTGCGGCGATGCGGGAAATTAACGGCGTCCGTCCGCCCGACGTTTACAGGAGGCTAGCAGGCGAGCGCAGCGGTTTGTCCGCCAAACCTGCGGGTCCACCACCACCCGCGCAACTCCACTTTCCGCTTCTCCATTTTTGGCTCAACTCTCTGCTCTGCGCTACGCTCATCTCAGTCGGCCAACGCGCATATCGCTCGCTTGCCGCAACCAACCCCACGCGTTTGTTCGCACTTTCATCGTTGTTGGGGTGTGGTCCCTTCCTCCCTGTTCCATCCATGCTATGGCATGGCAAGTGCTGCATGCCCCTGATTCGAAAACATCGATCTTGGCTGGTTGGTTGGTGGGGTGGGGGGTCGTTGTTGTTGGGTCGACCCCATGGTGCATGGCCCACATCGCTATGGATTGGTCGGTGTAGCGCGCGCGGGGAGACAGGGGGCAAGGCCAAGGGAGGTTGGGGAGAGCGATTAGGGGAGATGGGGTGGGGGGGAAAGTTTGCGCAAAGGCTTGAGCGCACAGCACAGAATGTGAAAAGGGAGGAGGCGACAGACGACGGCCTGAAGGCAAAATGTTACACGCGAACGATAAGGAATGGAATGTACAGAACACGCGCGCTAATAAATACAAAACAAAGGTAACATTTTGCAAGCAATGCAATGTTGAATTGCGGGCGGGCAGATTCTGTGTGGGCAGAATGGATGTGAAGAATTCGACGGTTTCCTGCTGCAGTTGGTGAAAGAGGACAATTGGACAATCACTAGGGTGAGAATCATGCTCACCGCTTGGGGTTGGGGCAGCGGCGTCAAATGTCTTCAGGATGTCCATCCGGGTTTCAACTGGGCTAGGGATGATTGTACAAATGAATTGGCTGGAGAAATAACGGGCTCGATGTGTACCTTCCGACGTTTTTACGAGTGTCCCGTATACCCTTCCAAAACAAGTCCATGCATTTCTGCGTACAGACGAAATGCTGTGTACAGCAGGGCATTTCTGAAACGGAAAGCAGACGAACCAGCCCCAGGTGGTCGGTGCCGAGTACTACACACGCTGCGAGCTGGAGCCCTGTCGAGGTACAAGAGGCATGGCTTCCACGCACTGTATTACCCACATAATTGCTCTATGACAACTCTACATACAAATTATACAGTTTAGAAAGGATAGTACGGTATGGGGGTGCATTCTGACAATGCATCACAGAATATTGGAATATAAAAAGGGTAATACACCATGTTATGCATACACTAGATTGCTGGGTGCAGCATGATACTGTTACGAATAGTAATATTTGATATTACTGTACACTCCTCACCGCAGCAAAGAGAAGCAGGCAATATCGGGAATGAACGCGAAGCGTCAGACAGTTGGAATTGAACCGAAGAGTCAGACGGTTACAACACATCTGGACCGTCGGAGCAGATGGCATCGGGCAGCTTCAGGCAGGATGGTTTTTGCGGGAACAGTTACGAAACTGTACGCGCCGCACGGTTGGGAATGAATTTGAATAAGGGAATGTACCCCTTAGAGTACATGGCTAGTTAGGTCGTTTCGTATTCCCTTGTACTCATATTTATATTCCTTGTATTTGCATGTTTCATTTATCTCAAGCATCTTACATTCACTCTGCTATTGAGGTCAAGGGCCCACCAAACTATCTCACTGCGTGCGAACCTTCCTGAGTAGATCCTAGGCCACGATCAACTTCTGATCGCAGCATGGTATGAGAGCGGCTCGGGAATCCTTCGCACTGCCACTCCCGAAAATTGCGACATTCGGAAAGTGGCGTCCGGCACACGCTCACGAGTGAAGATGGCCGGAGGATCTGGTGGTCAGACCAATCTGACGGCTGAAGCGCAACCCAACCCGGCTGCGACAAGCGAGAACACGACGACAATCAACTCCGAATTTCTCACCAGCGACTCACCAGCTTGGAGCAAGGACTCCAAACATTGCGGAACGGCGATGCGGGAACATCCTCGCAACCATCTAAACCGGCCCCAACTTGGCAGAACGCCGTCCCACAAACATTCTCCCTCGACACCAATGGCTCAACCCCCAAGACTCCCCGTCCCAGTGAAGAGGCAATTCTCTCCGCTCAATCAAGGTTTCTCAGCATATAAAAAATAAAGACAAGTACCTGTTTTGACGGCAGAGACTTTTATACCTGGAGCTTCGAGTTGGAGCTCCTGCTGCAGAACGCCCGAATTTTCCATTATTTTGACGGGAGCTACGCGGAGCCCGTTGAAGACACCGACGACGCCAAGGCAAGGTACTACGACGAATCGCTGATGGCATACGGGGTGCTCCTGCGGAATATGTCGCCGGCGGAGCAGCTCAACATTCGTTCTTACAAGACCTCGGCTGCTCCAGCCCTCAACGCCTGGCGGCACCTGACAGGAGTCTATCAGCCCAAGGACTCTGTCTCTTCGAGCCGACTACTCCAGGAACTCCTGGAAACCAAGATGACCGCAGGGGAGAAGGTAAACAACTACCTCAATCGCTGTCGGAGCCTTCGTGATCAAATCGTGAAGTTGGGAAGCACGATTTCAGAAGAAATCTTCGTCAACATCGTGCTTCAAGGGCTCGGCCCAGAGTGGCGGCCCTGCAAGGCGCTTCTCCGACAGCAGGGGGTCATCTCGGAGGCCGCCCTTTGCGCCGCCCTTCTCGTCGAACAAAGGGATATGGACCAGCAGCGACCAGCGCCGCGACGAGAACGCGAACGGCTCGCCTTCTACGCCGACAACACCGAAGAGCGAAAGCCACGGCGCCTCTACTGCAAAATCTGCAGAAATTTCGGGCATCTGGCGGATCGATGCAAGAACCGATCTCGCCCTCGCCAGACCAATCCGAGCACCTGGTCCGGCCGTCAAGACGCACGAGGCGACGTGCGTCCAGCCCAGGGGTATCAGCCCCCTCCCGCGCGCAACCTGAACCCAGCAGTTCAGCATCAGCAGCAGCAGCCGTCATCGACTGCCCCAGTTCGCAACGTCATGAGCAACATGGCCATGACAGGCGAATCGCGTCGTCGCCGCGTGCGCTCACCTTCACCTGAGCCAGCACCGCACCCCATTGGCGCGTTCAACAACAACAACCCATTCAGCCCGCGCCACGACTTCACCGACGACGACGACCAGGACTGGAACCTCCCAGTCCCGCTGCTTGAAAGTCCCCCGCACGTACCTGATATGCGGGTGGCGCCAATTGATTGGCTCTCGCGCGAGCAATTTCTCAAGTTTGACACCCCGCACATCGTCACGCCGCGACTGGCGCTGCTCGCACGTGACGACAACAAGCGCTACAACACCTGGTACCTGGACAGCTGCTGCGGCCAGCATATGGTGGGGTCCGAGCGCTACATATCCAACGCCGTCCCCACATGTACCGTCACCTACGTCACCGTGGCGAACAACACACGCCTGCGCGCAAGCGCGCAAGGCATCGTCGTGCTCAAAGCACGCGGAAGCCGCACGCACATCACGCTCAACGATGTGCTGATCGTCCAGAACCTGCGCTTCAACCTCTTGTCCGCCGCACAGCTCATGGACTGCGGCGTCGACCTCAGCACGGACCGCGCGACGCGAGATATCCTGCTGCACTATGAGGCGCGCAACTTCCCCCGCAGGCAGATCGGACGAGCACACTCCGAAAACGGAGTATACGTCCTGGACTTCGATATTCCCGACTGCAGCGGCGACTCGCACGAGCTGATTGACCTCGTGCCACTGCGCTTCGAACACATCCACCGCAGGGACTGGAAGCACCCTGACGGCAGGCCGTGGGTGCCGCATCATCCTCACCCACGCGAAACGGCGTTACTAACCCTGACCCCGACGGCATATGCAGGGATTGCCACACGCCGACGACTTCAACAAGCGCGATTGCAGGCCGCGGACTCGCCGCCATCGCGGAAGCAGAGCGCAACGCGCCCCCCGAGGAAGGGATGTCGCAGCTCGAGCTTGAAGTCACTACTCACCGCGTGTTCGGCACTGATCAAAGTCCCCACGCCGGACCACCGTCGCAGCGGCTCGAAGGCATCCTGCGCAGACAACGTCGCGGCAGCCTGGACTCACGCGGAGTCGCACGCCCCTACACCCTCAAGGAATTCCTGAAGGTTTATCCTCACTGGCGTGATCCCACGGCAAAACTCACCGTGGAGCAGGAGGAAGAACTGGCGCGCCGCGAAGCCGAGGAGCTTCGCCAGCAAAGCCTCGCGGAAGCCCGCGGGACCTTCGCTTGCGGCGCATGGGGAGCCGAAGCGGAAGAAAGTGCCTCCAATGAAGGGGGGTGGGGAAGCGCTGGACGCTGGGGAACGAGCGACACTGGCGGATGGAGAGATAACGGCGGAACCTGGGCAACCGCAACCGGCGGATGGGGCGCCGCATCTGGCGCCGACAATAGCGGCTGGGGCACTTCCCGCGAAGAACGAAGGGGGGAAGAGGAAGAAGCCGTGAAAACCGAAGCAGCATCGCAGTCGTTCCTCTCGGTCGTCCCCCGCGCCACATCCCGCTCGCACCACCTCCTGCAGACATTCCCCCGCATCGCGACCCGTGGGATACCATTACCTGGGGCAACGAGCCGTCAACCCCGCGTCGCACTGCCTACGAACCTGCCCCTGAACCACGCCAACCTACCCTTGTCCCTGGAACCATCCCTGGGACCAACATCCCGCTCTCTGAAATTCGCGACAGAGAGTTCTTGGCGTTGATGCTGACCACCGCGGCAGAAGAAGAAGAAGCAGAGGAAGTAGCAGCGGAACCTGCTCCCGCACCTGACGAAGACCCTGAGGAAGCACGCGCGCGCTATATGCGCACCTCCGGCTTTCGCGCTGACGATGCACTCTGGCACCAGCGCCTCGGACATCCTTCCCGCGCGACGCTGAAAAACTGCATCGACGCTGGCGTCTTCACCCCTGGCGCACTCCTGTGCCCCTTACGGCTCCGAAGTGAGTGGCGGACCA